AATCATTATCATCGACATCATCTCTATCATCATCGCCATTACCATCACCGTCATCATCATCATCATCAGCAGCATCACCATCATCATCATCGCCTTGATCATCGTCATGATAATCATGATCATCACGACCATCATCATCATCATCATCATCATCATCATCATCATCATCATCATCATCATCATCATCGTCATCGTCATCGTCATCGTCATCGTCATCGTCATCGTCATCGTCGTCGGCAGCAGCAGTTGCAGCAGCAGCAGCAGCCCACACACATACGCACCAGCGGGCACGCTCGCACGCGCGCCCGCCCGGACGCTGGCTCGCACGCCCCGCCCAGTGCCACGTGCGCTTCCTCCACCCGCCGCCCTGGCTCCACGCCCCTTGCCTGGGTGAGGAAACCAAGAGGATGGGAGGGCACCGCAGGTTGGGGTACGGTCCTCAGGGTTTTTTTTTGATTCGCGGGTCGAGCACCTCTTCCAGTCGAAGCTAAGCGGGCCGCGCAAAGCTTGAATTGAGAAAGAGGGGGGGGCAGAAGGAGGGGCCTCACGTCAAGGCCAGGAGGGGGCGAAGCCCCGGAAACAGGCGGTGCCGGAGACGATGTGTTTGCAAAGGAACGCGTTGGACAGGAACCCGACGGTCCTCAGGGGTCGTATAGAGAAAAGAAGATGGACCCTCTCCATAAGGAACCCCGGCAAGGGAAGCCGTTTCGTAGACGCACCCAAGGAGGGAATCGAACAGGGCAGGCCTGTGTAGTAAACGCCCGGGGCCGCCCAGTAAACGCCAATTGCCGGGTTCGGGGTGGTTTTTCCTCCGTTCATCGTGAGGCTTCGGGCTGCCCGCAGACAGCCCTCTTCCCGAGGTAGCCCTGGCTCGCCTCAACAGGCCCCCCGAGAAGCCCAGAGCGGTCCCAGCACCCTGGAGCCGCCTCTGGCGACGCCCCAAAATGGCTCTCGCCCTCACGCCCCATCGTCGGAAGCCCTTGCACACTGTGTCGCGGCGGCGGCCCCATGACACGCTATGCCTTGCAAGGGGATCGCGTGTCGCTCCGCTCTCCGCGGGGCGGGATAGCGGAAACAGCTCGGGACGTTGACGCTTGGGGGCGCAGACGTGGTCAGCGCTAGGCCGGGCATGTCCCCCCACACGGGGATGCTGGACGAAGAATTCAAAATGCAACAAACAATGATCCCCCGACTATTTGCTTGACTGCTATCGGACGTTCCCCCGGTGGACGGACAGGCCCGACCCAAGGCCAGCGCGTGGCGCCGAAGCGCGGCGGGCCAGAGCCCGCGGAGCGGCACGCTGGGGACGGATCCCCGACCGCCGGGGAACGGAGAGGAGCGAGGGGGGGGGAGGACGAGGATGACTACCTACCAGACCACCCCAACCCAACCCGAAGACCCGAATCTGACCCGAATTTCGGGTTGGGGGGGGTACGGATACCATGTGTTTTTTCAACGTTCCCCGACCCCCCCCCACTGGAAATCGAGGATAAATTTGGGCCTTCGGGTTGGGTTGGGGTGGTTTGGAGGAGTACAGCCATCGTGCTGCCCCAAGGAACGCAACATAAGGCACGAAGGGGCGTTCCTGGCCACCGCGGGGCCTGGGCCACAAGCAGGTTTTCCACTGCAGAAGTATAAGGAACAACCCGTTGCTTGTTTCGGCGTCTTGACTGCACGGGAAGGGAAGCGCGAGGAGGAGGAGTGCGATGACTGCCCCCCCGGGCCACGAGCGACGCCTCGGAAGACGTCGGGTGTCTGCCTCGAAAGCCACGCGTGACCTCACGCGGGCAACTCACGCGCCACTGGCGGTGCAGGCGGCACCCCGTTGGTCAGCGTCGCCCGCTCGGCTGCGGGTCCTGGGGCCCGGGAAGGACCCCCTGGATAGGACGAGGGTGGCGCCATGATGCTATTGTCGGGGAGACGTAAGACCCGGGTACGGGGGACTCGGAAATCCCCGACGAGGTCGTCAAAAAAATGACGAGGCCGAGCCTGCATTTTGACGAGGCCTCCCGCTGCAGACATCCCACGAAACTCCTCCTCGTCAAAATCCGAGGCGCGGTCGTCAAAAAACGATGGCGAACCCGAGTCCTGGCAAACCCGGGTCTTACGCTCCCCCGATATTGTCGGGGGGGGGCCTAGGTAGGGGAACATAAAATGACATAAACATAAAAACTCGGAGGTCCGCGCGGATTTCTCGGATCGGCGCTGGACCCCCCTCTGGGCGGCGCCGGAGGCGCCGCCGGGGGGTCCCTGCGCCGATCCGAGAACTCCGCGCGGACCTCCGAGTTCTTATGTTTGTGCCACTTTTTGTTCCCCCACCTAGCAAGGGTAGGGTAGGTAGGGTAGCAAAGAGCAGGGCAGATCATCTGCTCACGTTGCTGATTCTCCTGGCGCCTCCTCGCGCCAGGAGGCGCCCACGTATCGAGGGATGGGCCGGGCGGCAGGGCAGAAACTGGCTGCATGCAGCAGACTTCGTGACACCCCCTTTCCCTATCATACCTTTCGTCCGGCCCGAGATTGGCTCAGAGGATGTTCGGGAGCAACTCTTGGCAGGTCCAAGCCCGATGAAGGGGCCATTGTACCAGATGGGGCCAAAGTAGTTCCAACCTTCAACCCCAGATTATGAAGGATCAGGTTGGCGTTCGACAACGGATAAAAACCAGCGCCAATGCTGAATGTGACCTCCCAGGGACTGCATCCGCTCCAGGAACTCGGAAGTACCTGGCGGCCCTCGACTCTGCACTCGTGTGGAACAGTCAGACACCCAGGAACATATCAGCGTCCTGACCTCTTGCTCCTCTGCGAGGGCCCCCGGAGGCGAAGAGCGGAGAGCTGCGCAAAGAACATCCGTCGCGGCGCAGGGCGGCGCAAGGCCCTCTCGTCAACGGGCGAAGAACGGTATAACATACACTCTTTCGCTGTCGGGGGCGCCTGTCCCAGGGCGGCTGGAAAGTTTATACCCTTACGGTGGCACCGTAGGGGTATAAACTTTCCAGCCGCCAAGGGGCAGGCGTCACCGACGGCGGAAAAGTTTCTGTTATACCTGAAGGGGCCCTGAGACAGACAACTAAATATACACAAATAAAAGGATTCCCCATATTTTTCAATATTTTCTGAGTTTTTGTCTTCCCCCCGACTTCCATATTTTCCAATATTTTCTGGGAGACCGCCGATTAATTGTGTCTGTGTGTTTCTTTCCCTCCTGAATACCGTTCTTCGCCTATGATTCCCTTGCGGAGCTCCCCGCGGGTTTCTTGGGTCGGCGCTGGACCCCCCGACCTGACGCGCGGAGCGAGCCAGGGGCCGCACCTGCGGCCCCGTCAGGGGGGCCCAGGCGCCGATCCCTAAGATTGACACGCCAAAAGGCGATGACAATCTTAGGGATTCGCCCTCAAAATATAAGGGAATCCCTAAGATTGGCATCGTGATGAGGAGGTGCCCAGCATAGGGATAGGGATATGCTCCAGGCTGGTAAGTTCACCAGAACATGCGCAGGCCATCTAGAATTGGTGCACGTGTCCGATCCCCGATCGATCGACCTGAGGGGGCAGCGGCGAGGACGGCGACGACGATGTCGACGACGACCACGACGACGACGACGACGACGACGACGACGACGACGACGATGGTGGCGACGACGACGGCATTGGCTTTCGGGCCATAACTCGGGTCTTCAGCGGCATTCCGGGACGATCCGGGCACCCCCGGAACGCTCGGCAAGGCGCAGCCGCTGAAACGCATCCCCAGGGCGGAAGACCGCCAAGAAACTACGAAAACGCCCGAAAACCTCGGAATTCGAAATTCGAACCTCGAAGTCCCCCTCCCCTCGCCGCCTTCACCTTCTCACTTCCCCTCCTCGCTCGCCGCCGAGTCGCGGGAGTAGGGGGAGGGGAAGGCCTTCTGCCGGGGGACACTGGCGACAGCGACTTCTCCTCGGGAGAGCGTCATCGCCGGCGCCGTCGCCGTCGCGTTGCCGGTCCCGGTCGCGGTCGCGGGCGCCAGCGCCGTCACCGTCGTCGTCGACTTCGTGGCCGACGTCGTCCACTTCGTCGTGGTCGTCGTCATCGTCGTCCTCGCCCTCGGCTTCGTCGCCGTCGTCGTCGTCAACTTCGTCGTCGCCGTCACCGTCGTGGCCGAATCCGTGGCGGACGTCGCCCAATCGTGGCGGAAGCCGCCCACTTCGTCGTCGCCGTCGTCGTCATCGACGCCGTCGGCTTTGTCGTCCTCGTCGCCTGCCTCGCGCGAGGTGGGCGGCAGGCGAGCAAGCCTTCTCGAAAAGTCCCCCGGCAGCCAGTGCTGTCACGGGCCGCACTTGTCCGAGGCCGCGAGGGGCCAGGGAGAGAGCGGACGAGGAGGGCGAAGAGCAGCTAGCAGCGAGAGGAAGACGACGATGGAGGGGCTCGGATCGGAGCGGGCGGGTGGAAGTCGGGCGTCTGCTCGAAGCCAGCACGATCGACACAGGGAGTCGCCGTGCGAGAACCACGAGTGGAGCGAGAGGGGGAAGGCGCTTGCTCGCTCAACGTCGGTATCGGTCACTGCCGCACTCGTCCACCGGCCAACGACACAGATATGTGACAATGGGCGTTAAAAACAAACCTTCCGCCCACCACCTTAGCTCTGCATGCTGTACCACGCATTGAGCTGGGCACGAGTGTGTGCCTGGTCTTGCTCGATCTGCGCGGTGCTGCGCGGATCAGCGAAGCAGGGAGGGGGTGGGGGAGACAAAACTCGTGCTCGACGCTCGGCCAGGCGACGTTCCTCTCGCCTGGCCAGGGCCAGGGCTCGGTTGGCGGCAATGCGGTCCAGTTGTTGGGAGGAAAGAGGGAGGGGAGCGGGCGGGGGAGGCGGAGGCAAGGCGGGGGAGGGTGGAGACAACAACCAGTCCGCCGCCTGCTCCTCTTGAGAACCTAGGAGCTGATCAGCCACCTCTTGCTCCGCCTCTGCATCCTCGGGAAACTCCGAGGGGGGCAGCACAGGGTCTGAAGTGGGCCGAACAACTTCAGCGCCAGTCTCCTCAACTTCATCTGAGTCTGAGTCGAGAAAACGATAACTCTCGTGCTGGTCCTTGGGCCGTGATCTCTTGTTGATCCCTGCGAAGTCAGGGTCTGGCTCGAAACTTTGCTGAGCCTCGCGGCCCCAGGAAACGAAAAACTCACATAGAGACTCTCGAACTTCTTGCAAGTCGGGCGGGTACTCCGCCACTTCGTATACTTCTTCGTCAGAGGAGGAGGGAGGCTCCGAGGACGGGGGGAGAAGAACGCTGATGCTATTCACTATAGCCGTGGCTAAGGCAAGGCACAAACTGGATGGGTATGTCTTCTTAGACGCCGTATGGAACTGTCCTGAAGAACTCTTGCCTAAAAGCGTGCGGTGGGCCTGGCGCCCGTGACAGCACCTACCAGAACCTGGAGTGGCCTTGAGGAGGTCTGGCAGGGCCCCCATACGAATAGACAAAATGGTCGTGGGCGCTCGGCCCACCGTGCTAGGATCAACCTGTGAATCCTGATGTTCACATTGATCGAAAGACGTAACACGAGCACAGGGCGCTGCTGCGATGGTCTCCATGGGCCGACATCTGAAACTAGAAGGGGCCCTAGGGGCCAACGTGGCAGGGGAAGGGTGTTCAAGCCACCCCCCTGTGCCAGCCCTCAGACGTTCTACAAGAAGCCGAACCAGATAATGTAAAAGCTGAGACCCCACTCGAAGTTGCTCAGACTGACGCCAAGACACCCACGGCATACCCCACACGTAGTCTGAGGACCTGAGTGGGGGGGGCCTCCCTCGTGCCACCTGGAGGCAGACCATGTCTCACAAGGCCCCCGCCCCAGTGTTGACCACTCGGTGGCATCTGATGTGTTCTATCCATTCCAATAACGCACTCTCCCTTGTGAGGTCTCCTCGCACTGCGTCAGTGGCAATGTCCACGCTGAGCACTCAACATGCCACTGCACGTCGCCCTGTCTCCTGCGCCCGCAGAAGAAGTTCAACGCGCACAGGGTAGGTCGGCGAATTCGTATCGGCACCGAAGTAGTGGAGATTCCCGAGAATTCGCCAGGGTTGCACACGTAGAACGGGACCTCTAGGGAAGGGTCCTCGGGGGGAGGTTCGTCCGAAAATATCTGTAGGTACTGGTCTATCTTGTCGTTCGGGATGGCGGGGTCGGTCTCGAGTAGGACGCGAAGAGCGTCCGTCACGTTGGGAGAGGGGCCATGCAATATCTCGAATAAGTTGGTGCCGAGTCGAACCGACTAGCTTGGTAGCGGGGGCCTCCGTGCGCCATCGGCCTTGGCCTGCTGCGCGCTGTGCTCAGAGGCGTTCGTATTCTGCCTGCTGCAATTGCTGAGCTTCAGCCGCCGTGGGGCAAGGCTCCGCAATGACCAGGCTTACTGCGCACCGCGGAGAGTCGAATGCCAAGTGCGCTGTAAGCGCCGACCGATGAGCAAACCTCTGAAAACATGACCGACAATGAAGTTCTGGCCCTTGGCAATTCCGAATGAAATCGACCCTGGAATGGTGATTGCGTTGAATGTGGGCCCTAAGCCCACGAATACGAGCAAACCTCATAGTGCACCACATTCAACAATGTATTTTGGCATCCGCTTGATCCTGTGCACGTAAACGGTGGCGAGGATCGTCCCACGCTGGCGGCGCGCCTGCAGACTCGAGAATGCTGAGTATGTGCGCCTCTGCACTTCTAGCAAGTGCGTCCCTTTGCAATTGCCGAACATGGGATCCGAGGGCCAGCTTGATGGTTTGCTTCCACGGAGACGGGGATTTCATAGCAACGAGCTCCCAGCACGACATGTCTGCTTCTGGGTCGGCGAGGTCCTGGAAACGAAGGGGGTATAACTGCAACCAACGAAGACCCCCCATAATCATCTGGCCCCAGGTCCTCGACGAGATACGCATGGCATCATGAACGAGAGCCAAAATGTAGGAGGCCCTGTCCGGAGTATACGACCGAACAAACGAAGTCGATGAGCTGACAGGAGGGCCTGCAAAGGTGGCCGACACACTTGCGCGAGCACACAGTCATGGGAAACAGCTGATCCGTCCGTCCTCGGGAGCTTGGCGATAACTCTATAATGCGACATCAAGCCGCCCTGCCGGTGTCGATACTGCGCGGACGAGAGGAATCCCCAAGTACTGGCCTGACAGAGCCTCCCAGAGCATACCAAGGAGCCCAAGAATGCGAGGGCCACGTGCTTGTCAATGACCTTGTGTTTGAGCACCTTGGACTTGAGAACCCTCCAGGCCCGGGAGCAACTATGGAGCCTGTGTGCCAGTTCAGGCCCCGTGGAGGCCGACATGTCGTGTTTAGTCTCAAGATGAACATACTTTTGAACCCGATGAAGTTCAACATCACCCAATGTGTGTGTGAGTACGAATAATGTTATGTTGCTCGTGTACAAGAACACGTTTGGCAATCTTAGACGTCGGACCTCTGAGCTGAAACATAAAGGCCGCCTTACCTGGCTTGGTATTGATCTGGAGACCAAGGGACGTAAAGGCCTCAATGGCCACTGCTGCAACAAACGGCGCTTGAAATAAGATCACTTGCGCGGCCAGCGAAACAGAATAGCGCATCATCGAAAAAGGCGCCGTCCAAGACGTGGCACTGGTGCGCTGGAGCTTTCTCGCGTGCTCCTTGAGCACGGTATACTGCGAGCGATGGCGAGAGGTGACACGAAATATGTAGACCTACCCCCAATTCGAGGAGACCCTCCTGAGCAGTGGCCATGATTTTGGACATAACGAAATTGAAGACGACATCCCCCAGCTGCTGACCAGGTCCAGAGCCCAAGGAAGGAAACGCCACACCGCCACCGTCCCGAATATAGAACCAGATTTGTTCATACGAATCCGAGAACTGCCCCCGACGAAGAGCGGAAACACTACACTGCTCCAGGATCGGGATACTATGCTTAATATATTCGGCCAGCTCATGAGTAGCATCCGCTGGGAGACCGCAGAACTTCAGCAGGGCTGCCGCTGCTTCGTCGCTGGCGGAGATGCGGGGGAAAAAAAAAAAAAAAAAAAAAAAAAAAAAAAAAAAAAAAAAAAAAAAAAAAAAAAAAAAAAAAAAAAAAAAAAAAAAAAAAAAAAAAAAAAACTGAACCGATTTGTAGAAAGCCTGCGCCGCGTCGATGAAAAGCATCCTGACTAATTTATTTTCGGCCTCGGCTCTCTGCTGAAATACCCGAAACTCCAAAGCTGAAAACTCCGTGCCTCGACCTGGGATACCTCCGAACTGTCTGACTCCCGCTGCTTCCGTGGGGGAGGGTACAGCACTGGCGCGCGTAAGAGCACGAAAGCGTCTGCCGACTTGGGAGGAGCCCAGGATGGACCGATAGTTTTTGACGTTCGAGGGGACCCCGGCCTTGAAGAGACTCCAATAAAAACCACCCTTCCATTGAATAGGTTCACAAATGCGCACCGTGCTCTTAACGTGCAGAGGGTGGAAATAGCTGCCAAGTAAAATCGCAAACTGCTTCAATACTGCGCCTGGGATGCCGTCGGGCCCTGCCGCCGAGGCTTTGGCGCAGGAAAACGTGCGCTGAGCGACTGCGAGGGACGGCGCGTCCTCTATGTTAATGTCCACATTGTGCGTCACCGACGCGTCGAGGGTGGGATGAGAGGCCAGAAACCAATGTAGGTCTGACTCCGGTATGACTGGTGCGACCTCCTCGTTGCTAAAATGCTGAAGCCTGCGATTCGCACCCTCGACGAACGATGTGAATGGTTGGCCGTCGACACCGAGGAGGGTAGGAAGAGGACGAACAGAACGTTTGCGACGAGAGCAGGCTCCCATGGCCTTGAGTTTCGAGAACGCCTCCTTGAAATCCTGCCGAGACCAAGCCGAGGACACACCTTGAGCGAGTGTAAGAGCGTGCGCACGAGCATCGAGGTTAATGCGATGCGTGGCGAAGCG